CCTCATTACATTCTAAAGTATCAGTGTGTTTTCTAAAGCAAAATAAACCTATCATCTTTTTACTTAAAATAATATATAGAAATGCTCAGCTAAGGGTAAATAGCTAAGGACTGGATGAGTCCCAAAGTTTTCTGTTATATACCTATATTTAAGACCTAAGAAGAAAAAAAACAACTGCCTAGATCAGCACTTTAAGAAAATCACATGCACCTACAACATATATTTTGTAACTATTACTTGTAACAAGTATTTTACAAACAGCTCAGTGTTTTTCCGAAGCAATTACAGATTCTATTCTAACAATTTTAGGAAAACATCTATTGAAAACTGACATTTCTCAGGTAAGAGATCTTTAAAATCTATTACATTTTAAATGACTAGTAACTATAGCAGGCAAATAATCATGTCTAATAACAATCTATATATACTTACAGATATTTTATAATATAGCATTTTCACATGCATTGATAACAAGATTCTTACAACAGCCCTACAGGTTAAGCATTAACCCTATTTTAACAAATGAGAAATTTCTGAACAGAGAATTCAGAAAAGTTAGGTAATTTCCCTAAAGTCACAGTGTTTGTAAAAAGCAGAGCAATTACCTTAACCATGGTTTTCTGGGTCTAAGACCAGTGGTCTTTCCACTTCAACATCCTTTTCTTTCTTAAACATTACTGCATGCTATGGGAAAGCTAGCTGCTACAGCTACTAGTGAAAAAGGAATGATCCTGCCTATGCAATTTCATTTGAGAAGCTGCTGAATTCCCAACTAACTGGCAAGCTCGGTTAATCAGAATATGCTATTCTCTAACATGCCAACCATGACGCTATCTAATACTATTTGCTATCCATATCTGAGATAATTACCTGGTATAACAGGATCTTCTCTATATAGGATTCACACTAACTTAGCTAAAGTCACTAGGCTTTAGATTTGTCACAAGAGAAAACTCAAGCCATGGCTAGGAAGGTTCTTGAATGTTACAAGTCAATTCCATACTTTAAGTTGACTACAATTTCTTGGGCTAAAGAAACATACTCTTCCACAGAATGAGGCCTTAATATGCAAGAAATTTCCCTATTAAATCTATCTAAATTAACAAATTATTGATGAAACATTAAGAATAAAAACGTTTCTCAGAGTAATTCATTTGAGTATTGTTTCCTCTCTCAAACGCAAACTCATCCTAATGTCAAATACACTTTTATAAAACCATTTCCCTAACTTGGCAAACAGATTTACATTTTGTTAGTTTTAGTCATCAAGGAACCAAAGCATAAGAACTACTCAACTTATAAAGGTTGGGTGTGTCTGTGAATGGACATGAGAAAAAAATGAGTCGGAAAGAGTGAAAACACTCAAATCTATGAGTAAAAACAAAATTAGCGGCTATTCCCTATTATCTGAGGGACAGTGGCAAAATGGCCAGATTAGAAGCCACAACTGTTAAACATGCAACCAAAATTAGATCTGTTGACTACTGTTATAAAGTCAAATTCACTATGAATCCATTCCAACCATCTAGCCATCCCCTATGGAAAAAAACGAGTAGAGCAAATTGATAGCTAGACTTCTTTTATTTTTATTTTTATTTTTTTAATTTTTTATTGTGAGATGGAGTCTTGCTCTGTTACCCAGGCTGGAGTGCAGTGGCGCGATCTCAGCTCACTGCAACCTCTACCTCCCAGCTTCAAGCGATTCTCCACCTCAGCCTCCCAAGTAGCTGGGACTACAGGCATGCACCACCACACCCAGCTAATTTTTGTTTTGTTTTTTTTAATAGAGACAGGGTTTCACCATATTGGACAGACTGGTCTCGAACTCCTGACCTCGTTATCCACCCACCTCGGCCTCCCAAAGTGCTGGGATTACAGGCGTGAGCCACCGCGCCCAGCCTGATAGCTAGACTTCTGTTTCATATTGTTCACATTATAATTCATTTGAGAATCCTCAGATCCAGAAAAAAAACAGATTTGGAGTTTGAAGCAGAATAAAATCTCATCTAGGATACTCTGAAAAGACTGCTCAATAATGAAAAGTGGGGAAATTAACAGGCTAGAGAAAAGGATGGGACCCAGTAATATGAAGCTTAAGAAATTGTGTGGTAACTAATGAGAGGTTAGGGACTCATTTACTAATAATAAAGGGGACCATTAATGAGACTATAACAATTTTGTCACTACTAACAATGATGGCTAATGTGTATTGCATCCTTACTATATGACAGGTCCCAGGCTTACTTACAAGCAATCTCAAAGCCACCTGTGAGGTAAGCATTATTTCTACTTTTCAAGTGAGCAACTAAAGGTTAAGTACATTGCCCTTGGTCACAAAACGCATACCTGAATCCTGGCCAAGGGATTCAAACCCAGGACTCCAGAGCTCTGGCTCTTAAGCAGTGTATTAAGAAAACAACATTGCCCAGCCTGGATAACTCTTGGGCCACAAACATCAAGCCATGAAAAAATACCCAAGGTTATCCAGTGCCCACCACAGTGCTTATCACATAAGAGGATATCCAGTGTCTACTGCATGAAACATTCCTTATGTCCCACAACTGAATCCTGCTGTTTCAAAGAGCATGGTCATTAACAACTCCCAGAAAGCAAGTTTTTTGAGTGGCAAGTATAACCAGATTGGGAAAGAAGGAATGGAAGTACATCAAACATCTTCTCAGGCCCACTCTGTAAAGTCTGATCTAAAGGAAAAGAAGATCCTGTATGGGAGGTATGACTCTTAACTGAACAAAACAAAAAGATCCTAAATTGCTGCTTAAGATAACCTTTATAACTTAGACTGTGCTAGACAAGACCCTGAGAATTTCAAGCACTTCTCTTCATTCTGACAAATCAAGAATTTCGAAAACAAGATATAACTAACAAATTCCTGAATCAATTAAGACTAGACACAATATTGATACAAAAGAAAATTCAGCAGTAATTCAAAGAGAGGTCTTAGGTCCTTTTCCCATCTAAATTGGGTTCTGCTTATTAGAAAGTTTGGTTTACTGGGTATCAACATACAAGGGTTGAGGAGAATGGAGAGCATCAGAAAAATTCCTAACAACATGACTTAAGAGTTCCTAGAACACTCTGAGCCCTTCCCTGCTCTAGAACCTTTATACACACTGTTCCCTCTGTCTAGAACCGTCTTCCAGCAAAAGACAGTTAGCTTTCCAGACAAGCCTTCTCTGACCATCTTATCAAGTGGACTTCTATCGCAAAACCCAGTTTGTTACCTTTATTACTTTCCCAGCTAGGAATTTTTCATGTTTAGCTAAATAGCCTTCCTCCCCCATCTTCACAGGAGGATAACCTCCATCAGGGAAGAGACTGTCCAATTCTCTATAAACTCAGCATAAGAGTTCTATGCAGATGTTCAATAAATATTTTTTGAACCAAAAAAAAATTGTACCCAGTTATTTCAAACTGTCAGCTTCCCCACCAATAAAACAAACAAACCACCTTCTTTTTATAAGCTTGTTAAGTCACCCATCTGGCACAAGAAATACAATCCTAAATTGTCATTTTGCCACTTCATTTACCCCCACTATTACCTAGATGGTAAAGCTGTCCCGTCAGGAAGCCAGTCTTATACTTCATCAGTATAATGTGCTGTACAACACAGTGGGCATCCAATAACTAATTCAATTTTAAATTATCTTAGGCCTGCACAGAAAGTGTCCTCTAAGCTCTGACATCATCCTGCCTATATATCTATCACTGGTTTTTATGTATATTAAAATTATCTCACTGCGAGGGTGACAGGGATGTAAAGAGAAATAAAATCCTGTCATTTCTTCCTGAATTATGGCATGCTCTATAAACATGAAATAGTCAATAAATGTCTGTTGAATCTAACTAAATACAAGAAGCCCTTTAAGAAGAATGCAATCAAAAAGTAACCATGGTCACACTGACTACCAAAGGTGCCCCGACCCTTATTCTGTCACCAATTCAACATAAGCAGTTTGCTAAAGTTGTCAAGAGATTTCTGAGATTCCCTGTCTTAAAAATAGCATTACTACTCAAAATTCCCCAGTAAATTTAAGGAAATGGTCCCCAACAGGCTCAGGCCTGATATTTTCACAACACCCCCTATCAAGAGCCATACAGAGCAAATAGGCAATCTCAGTGGGCAAAGCCATTAATTAGCAGATCTGCCTCAGATGTCCAGACACGACAGTATCACTTTGACCTCTGTCTATTTCCTGTATCTCTCTATTTAAACCGAATTCAGTCTTCTGGGTTTTTTTTTCCCCCTTCCTGCTAACACAGAAATCCCTGGCCTGGAACAAAATGCCTCTCCCAGGCCAATGGCAGCCTACCTACCTACCTTACAGGTGGCACAGGACTGAGCAACTCGCCCCCCACCCCATTCCCTTCCAGCGCACAGAAACCCTGCAAAAGTTTGAAAATGCAGGTTCCAAGAGGCCCGCGGAGCCCGAGGTCAGCTCGGTGGTCTGGCTCCAGCTGTGCCCGGCGAGAGCCAAGATGGCCCTGAGCGGGGCCCACTGCGGCGACCGGGCCGAGGGGCGCCGGCCGGGGCCGCTGTCTCCGCCGCCTACCTGAGCGGCGTCAGGGACCGGGAGCCAGGCCCGACGCCCCTCCCGCCCTGCCGCAGCCCCGGGCCCGCGCGTTCCCGGAAACCGGGGCCGGACGGGCGCCAGGTAAGCGGCGGGCACGATGGGGGCGGCCGCGGGGGCGGTCCCGGGCCAGGTGGGCCCGGCGGGCCGGCGGGGAGCCCGGCAGGGCCCAGGGTACAAGCGCAGGCAGAGGCCGAGGCCAGGGCCGGGGCCTGTGCGGGCCGGAGCCCGAATCCAAGCCGGGCCAGAGGCGGCCAGGAGCCGGGCGGGAAGCCGGGGAGGGAGAGAGGGAGACGCCGGCGGCTGCCGTAGCTTCCTCAGCCGGGTCCGGGGGCGTCCGCTGGGGCAGGCCGCGACGACGCGGGTTGCAGTGCGAGGGGGCCAGGGTCTCGGCGCGGCCGCGTTCCTTACCCTGCATGCTGCTGACGGCCGGGTGGCCCGGCGCTGGGGACCCTACGGGGCCCGGGGTGCCGCTGCCGCTACCGCCCCCGGAGCCGCCGCCGCCGCTCGGGCTCGGAGCCGCCATTGTTGGGAGTGAAGAGCCGAGCGGCGCCGCGGCGGCTGCAATGCAGCAAGCTCGGCCTCTCGCACGGCCGAGGGGCGCGGCTTGCCCGCGTTGGCCCCGCCTCCGGCACGCCCTGGACACGCCTCTGGACACGCCCCCCCCCTCCGAGCCCGAGGCGCAGGCCGAGCTAGATGCTGAGCTGCAGCACCGCCGGTGTCGGGGGTGCGCGACCTGGGAAGCCAACAGCCGTCTTGGACCAGGGCTGCGGGCCCGCGGAGCCTAAAGTGGTTTGCAGAATTAAAAATCGTAGGCCGGGCGCGGTGGCTCAAGCCTGTAATCCCAGCACTTTGGGAGGCCGAGGCGGGTGGATCACAAGGTCAAGAGATCAAGACCATCCTGGTCAACAAGGTGAAACCCCGTCTCTACTAAAACTACCAAAAATTAGCTGGGCATGGTGGCGCGTGCCTGTAATCCCAGCTACTCAGGAGGCTGAGGCAGGAGAATTGCCTGAACCCAGGAGGCGGAGGTTGCGGTGAGCCGAGATCGCGCCATTGCACTCCAGTATGGGTAACAGGAGCGAAACTCCGTCTCAAAAAAAAAAACAAATCGTTCTGCATTTGGAGGGAGAGAGGGTACACAGCTTTCATCATTCTCATGGATGTATGTGACTCCCAAAAGTCCCCCTTCTTGGAATCGCAGAACCCAAAGTCAAAATAGTAAAGTTGAAAAGGATCCCAGGGATTCCTTTCTCCTCCAGTCGCTAAACATCGCTTCCAGAGGGTAGTTACCTGTAGCTAGGTTACAGTCTGGAGCTCCTCTTAAGCTCAATACCCCAACCCTCTACACTTCTCTGAGGGGACGGGGGAGCTCTAAGGGGTACTAACCAGTGCTATCCATGAAGCCATCCCAAAAGTACTGAATTAGAGGCTACGTCTTAACAATACCACAAGGTAATTCACGTGCTCATTAAATTTGAGAAGCATGTCTTTAAGCACCCAACACTCTGCAGCCTCCTGAAATAATACTATCTACATCACCATCTTCCCCTAAAGGCAGACTGGATTCCCACCGCCAAATCCTTTATATCTTGTATAAGACCAGCCATAGTCATTACTGTAAGTTATATAAAATGACAACCCCAAAAAACAATATGAGGTTTCTTCTATTGCTTTGCACGGAGACTTTTATTTTAGGAAGACAGCTGAAAGAAGAAAACTAGCTCTCTATGAGGCTAGAATTTGAGAGCCAACCACAATGTACTTGAAATGGTAAGACATGGGTTTCTAGCCAGGCAATCTTGCCTAAAATAGAATGGCCAGCTATCCTACATCCCAAAAAGTCTAAGCCGTGGAGATGGACATTTTCTGCCATTTAGAAGCATTGTGTGATGTATGCCTAGACTTCCTTCCCCAAACTCCTTCCACCCAGACCTTATTTGATGCTCAGGGTTCCTCACAGATTGTTGGAAAAATGTCCTAGGTCAAAATAGTTCTGCCTTCCTGTTCCAAACGCAACTTCATCCATCACCTTGATTGCTCAGATCCTAAAACTGACTAGCCAGAAAAGTCAAGTGGAGAGGCGTTAAAGACAAACTGAAGGTGAGAGCAAGTAGATGTACTTAAATGGGGAGCCTGACAGAATTCTCCTCCTTGTGCCTAGCCGACTGCTAAATATCTCCAAGTCCAGGTCGTATAAACATCACTGGATTCTCATCAGGAAATCAGTCGCCCACCTTGCTCTTTATGCTCCTAGGGCATCCTAAATGTGAGGGCCTTGAAGGGGAAATCTTATAAGAACCCAAAAGGAAAGATTCCCATCCAAATTATTCAGCTCAGGCAGGACATGGTGGCTCACCCCTGTAACACTTTGGAAGGAAGAGTCGGGCAGATCACTTGAGCCCAAGAATTCAAGACCATCCTGGCCAACATGGTGAAAACCAGTCTCTACAAAAAAAAAATTTTTTAATGAGCCAGGCATGGTGGCAACCACCTGTAGTCCAGCTACTCAGAAGGCTGGGGTGGATCACCTGAGCCTGGAGAGGTCAAGGTTGCAGTGAACAGTGATAACACCACCGCACTCCAGCTTGGGTCACAGAGTAAGAGCTTGTCTCAAAAAAAAAAAAAAGCTCAGAATACAGGCTAAATTTTCTGTCTACATCTTCTCCATGGTGCAGATGGGAAGAAAAACAATAAATGACAAAGAAAATGAGAAGCTATAAGGGGCTCTCTAACATTCTCTTCTTTTAAGGTACAGGTTGAAAAGTGGCTTTCTTTTCATTAGGGTTTTTATTTTAGTACCTGGAGACGTTAAGTATAAAAAAATCAAATCAAATGCTTCTTTCAAAACATCAACACAACTTGCCAATGATTAGAAAAGATGGATAAAGAAAAACAGCCCCTTCCATACCCCCAGCAGGAAGTTTTATATTTCTTTTGGCTTGGCCACTTCAGCACACAGGGAAAAGGCTTCAACAGCCCCATAGTCAGCTGGCAAATGTCTCAAATGTAGTCTCCTATCATCATCAGGCTCTAGATGCAAGATGATCAGATAACAAATAGTTATACTAGAGCGATTTTCAGATCCTTTATTCCGGTACTTGCCAGTAGGGTTCCGAACCAGTTCCTGTGATCTAAATGTCACCTTTGTGTGTGTCTCAGTTCTGTTTTCCACTGCCTTGGGGACTGGAATGGTGCCAAGAAATGGCTTGGAGGACTTTAAGTCTTACCATTCCCATAAGCACCATGAACATCTTACTTCAATTCTTCAATGTGCACAGTTAATGTATTTACAGTCTTATGTAATGTGCTATAAGCCTCCTTTTCTAATTATACTTATTTCCTTAACAGGAATTTTTTTTTAAATTTTTTATTTTTGAGACAGAGTCTTACTCTGTCACCAGGCTGGAATACAGTGGCACCATCACAGCTCACGATAGCTGGGACCTCCCAGACTCAAGCAATTCTCCCACCTTAGCCTCCTGAGGAGCTGGGACTACAGGCACGCACCACACCCAGCTAATTTTTATAATTTTTGTAGAAACAGAATCTCATTATGTTACACAAACTTGTCTCAAACTCCTAGCCTCAAACAATCCACCAACGTTAGCCTCCTAAAATGCGAGGATTTTAGGTGTGAGCCATCATGACTGGCCTTCGCTAAGAATTTAATATATATTCTTTTAATGGAAATCTTAAAAGCAACACTACAGATTAGGCAACTACTAGAAAATTAATTTACACACACACACACACATCCAATATTGTAAATAACAAATATCAAAGAAGGCTGGGGGTGTTGGTTCACGCCTATAATCCCAGCATTTTAGGAGGGCGAGGCTGGTGGATCACTTGAGTTCAGGAGTTAAGAGACCAGCCTGGCCAACATGGTGAAACCACGTCTCTACTAAAAATACGGGGGAAAAAAAAATTAGCCACATGTGGTGGCCGGCACCTGTAATCCTAGCTACTAGGTGGAGTGAGGCAGGAGAATCGCTGGAACCTGGGAGGCAGAGGTTGCAGTGAGCCGAGATTGTGCCACTGCACTCCAGCCTGGGCAACAGAGCAAAACCCCATCTCTAAAAAAACAAAAAGAAAATTAAAAATATATACACACACTCACACACACACACACACATATGTGAAAACATTCAACCTAGCAAATTCATTAAGGGAATTGTGAAATTGAATTAAAAGAGAAATACAATAAATATATAGCTAATCATATTTTTTGTCTGATAATATCAAATTCTGAGTTTGTGATAAAACTGACATATACTTGCATTGCTGTTGGTAACGTAAACTAGTAAGGTAAGAGCCAATAATTAGATCTGCATATCACAAAAACGAGAAAGCACTTTGATTTGTTCAAACTGAGGAAGCTATGTATGAGCTTTTTAACTTTTTCTTATGCTCACATTTCTCTTACATGTTTATGTTTTATGATTTGTTATGGACTAAATTGTGTTCTGCTCCCCCTCCAAATTTATATGTTGGAGACCTAGCCCCCAGCATCTCAGGTTGTGACTATATTTGGAGATAGGGTTTTTAAAGTAAAATGGGCCCTAATCCAATGTGACTGGTGTCTTTATAAAGAGATTAGGATGCAGACACACAGAGTGAGATGATCATCTACAAGCCACAGAAAGCGTCCTCAAAGGACACCAACTCTGCCTACACTTTGGACTTCCAGCCTCCATAATTGTGAGAAAATATATTTCTGTTGTTTATTGGTTCTCTTGGTACTTTGCTATGACATTCCTAGCAAACTAATACACAGTTTGGAAAAAACGAATTGCTTAAAAAATGTTAACTTTTTTAGTAGTAGTGGTGGTAGCTGGCATAATCATTGGGGAGACGAGAAGGCAATTAAGCAATACATATGAATAACCACCAACTTCACATTTATATGTTTTTGAGGAAATCCCCAAATGGACCTGAAATGATCTTGTCTTCCCCTAGAGTAAATGAAAATAACAAATTAAGATAATTGTTAAAAGGAATGTATGGCAATATCAAAGTGCCCCATCCTGAAAGAGGCTGCAGAGAAAGACTAATGTATGTGTATTCCTTGCTTAGAGAACTTTTATTAAGAAATCTAGCTTGCTTGTTCTTTTTGATACATATGTCAATGGTTAGATTAAGAATACCTTTTTTTTTTTTAATGAAGTTTCACTCTTGTTGCCCAGGCTGGAGTGCAAGGGCGTGATCTCAGCTCACTGCAACCTTCATGTCCCAAGCAATTCTTAAGCAATTCTTAAGTAAATTGCAGATATCAGTATTATGCCGTCTTAAATACTGCAGCACTCATATAATTAGCTAGAGTTTGATATTTGTGAGGTTTTTTTGTGTTTGTTTTTTTTTGAGACAGAGTCTCACTCTTTCAGCCAGGCTGGAGTCCAGTGGTATGATCTTGGCTCACTGCAACCTCCGCCACCTGGGTTCAAATGATTCTCCTGCCTCAGTCTCCCTAGTAGTTGGGATTACAGGCATGTGCCACCATGTCCAGCTAATTTTATATTTTTAGTAGAGATGGAGTTTCTCCATGTTGGTCAGGCTGGTCTCGAACTCCTGACCTCAGGTGA